CCTGCGGCAGAAAATAAAGGTTTATCTTGACGTTTAGAAGCTAGATATCATCATTTTGAGAAATACTGTAAATATTTATTCGAACAATTGAAATATTTCCGATATGCGTACTTGCATAGCCGCAAAACGGGCATGGGCATTTGGCTGCACCGTCCAAAAAGCTACCTGTAGGTGGGTGTCTAACAAGATTCAACTTATTGGACAGCTACAGGAAACGAAAGACGATAAAGACAAATAAACAGCACTGAAAAAGCTTGATAAATCAAACAAATTAATGAGAGCAATATGTAGGAAATTAGGAGCGTAAATTATAAATATTTCACAAAATAATCCTATTGAAATTGGCATGTACATAATGATCAATCCACCGTGAACTATACTGAAAGGAAAAAGAAACGCAGGGTAAACTTTTTAGGTGAAATAAGATTATATATTTCAGACGTGTTTTCCAATTTTCCTATCTAACATTTAAAATCATCTTTAATAAAAATGTAACCAAAATCTCATTTTATTTTTCCCAATGATTCATGAGTTATTGAAACTCATTGTACCCCCTGAAAGTGAAAAATGAAAATTCTCATTATCTCACATGTCTCCCTCGCGCATCTGTCACAGCTTTGATTCTCCTATGCATGGAGCTCTTCAGTGTGTTTATCCTTTTCTAATAGGGATATTATTCAACCCTTCCGAGAAGGCAGCCCTTAATTGATTGAGACCAACTTGGACATTTTAAACCCTATCGTCCACGTAGTCCCCGTACGTTTGATGCGAAAAAGATGGACTTGACGGAGACCAGTCAAGTGGATAAATGTGATTGTTTGTGAGAAAATCTTGACAAGCCCTGTCAGCATTGGGAGGGGTTAACATGCCCTCAAAAATAGGCAGACGAAGCGCGCATGCGCGAGTTAGAGGAACACTAACGTAAAGTTGACGAGCTCATAAACAAAAATCGCGCTATCGATTTTCTTAAGTTTTGGGGTGAATATAACGATTATGATAGCCTGCTGTTATAATAGCAGTTTAAGGGTAATGTGATGGTGATTATTATTACACTTTCATGTTAAATACTAAAATCTGATTGGTTTAGACGCATTTAACAATCCGTATTATTATACTTTCATGTTAAATACTAAAATCTGATTGGTTTAGACGCATTTAACAATCCGTAATGTTACCCTCAGCGTTAGCAACACACTTGACAACGGGTAACATTACGAAAATATCACATGCGTTCAAATCATGCGCGTACGGTTCACCGTAGAATTCTCAAAACGTCGGTTGTGCGTTTGAAAGAAGCCGAATAAACGACGTCAATAAAAGCTTGCGTCCGATGTAGCCTACTTGAAAACAACAAACGACAGACGAAACATCCTTGCGAGTGCAAACTTTAGATGATAAAGGACTTTTTGAGTAGCAAACAAACAATAGAGAGGTTGGTAAATCTTTCCCGAAGCTTTCTTATTGAGAAAAATAGAAGCGGGGAGTTTGAAAGCTTTCTAAGCGTGAACTTAACGACGATCTCCGAATTTTTTTCATGACATCCGAAATCAATAAGACATTCAGTATAATAAAATAAATAGTGCACGTTTTTGAGGGTAACAGTTGAAATTGACACCCCTCGGAAAACCATTGTCAACCTCCGCTGACGCATCGGTTGACAATGGTTTTCCTTGGGGTGTCAATTTCAACTGTTACCCTCAAAAACGTGCACTATTTATATAATGTTACCCTCAGCGTTAGCAACACACGTAACAACGGTTAACATTACGAAAATGTCACATGCGTTCAAATCATGCGCGTACGGTTCACCGTAGAATTCTCAAAACGTCGGTTGTGCGTTTGAAAGAAGCCGAATAAACGACGTCAGTAAAAGCTTGCGTCCGATGTAGCTGACTTGAAAACAACAAACGACAGACGAAACATCCTTGCGAGTGTAAACTTTAGATGATAAAGGACTTTTTGAGTAGCAAACAAACATATAAAGAGGTTGGTAAATCTTTTCCGAAGCTTTCCTATTGAGAAAAATAAAAGCGGGGAGTTTGAAAGCTTTCTAAGCGTGAACTTAACGAAGATCTCCGAATTTTTTTTAATGACATCCGAAATCAATAAGACATTCAGTATAATAAAATAAATAGTGCACGTTTTTGAGGGTAACAGTTGAAATTGACACCCCTCGGAAAACCATTGTCAACCTCCGCTGACGCGTCGGTTGACAATGGTTTTCCTTGGGGTGTCAATTTCAACTGTTACCTTCAAAAACGTGCACTATTTATATATTATAAGTAATATACAGGTGGCAGGATGAATTGCCCAATCTTGACGTGGCGCTGTTACGCGTCATCGTCACGGTTGGTTGGAAAACTTTCTTCGCCCTCTCTGAGGACGGGTAAGGCGTTCTATTGTGGAAAAATTCACAACAAACTGCACAGAAACCTGTCGTTGCCTTTATCTTTACTTAGGTAATGCAGTAGCCAGACCCCATGGTACTTCCGCCAACCGTACCTTGCATGATTTCAAGAAATGCAAATCGACTGTAAATATCGAAAAACAATGTGTATAACTTAAGTGCAGCAAATGGTTCTACGAGCTGTGTTGAAAAACGGCGTCATCGATATGCACGTGTTTTCGGCTTTTTACCACTTTCCTTTAGTTAGAATAATCTAACTGTGTCTCGGGACAAGCCCTCACCACAGTTAGAATACGTCCCATATACTTGCAATGTAGCCAATCGGAGTGGATCCACTCCGAAATGATTTTGAAGAATACAAAAGGAGATGCACTGAAAATAACTACCAAATTAATCATAACAAACCTTTTTGAGATTGTATATGCCTTTTAACCTAAAAAATAATCCATATAAATACGAAAATTCAACTCATTTTCTCAACGTTTTTTCATCGCTTCAAATTTAACGCCATGTTGACATTCGGAACTCTCTGGATTGTTCATAGAAAATGCACAGAGTTCGAGTTATCGCCCGTGTTTATTTTGCTACATTGCGAATACACGGAACGAATTCTATCGTTAAACCGGGTCCGTAGGACAATATCATTTTAACGATAGAACATTCTATCTACTTTCCTTATGTGACGTTATACATTTCACGGTTGACTAGTTCTGATTTAATGCACAGTAACCAAGATATCCTTCTGACCAATTTTCATAATTTTCGGTTATACAGTCAAAAAATTTTCGCATTTTATGTTACCCTGCGTTTCTTTTTCCTTTCAGTATATATGTCTCACAGGAAATGTTACAGAAGAATCCGTGGCACCGATCTTAATTATCATAAATTCGCCGTTCATTATTTTTTATTTCATTTTGATTGATACACGGGACATCCACGGAATCTTGGGGACACAAAACAGAAGAATCAGATGCACGTGTTTCCTTGTCCTGTTTAAGGAGTGGCTGGAGAAAAAATCCTTCAAAATCTATGCACTATCAAGAAACTTTGTTGCAAATTAAAAAAAAAAATCAGAAATACTGTCCCAATTTCGCCCCCCCCCCCCCCCCCCCGTATCAAACTAGTAAAATCCTTCAAATCCTATTGTTTTGCACAGTCGACAAATTGTTTCTGTAAACTCCGAAACAGAAGAAATATATATCTCCGGATTTCACAGTAGAAAACTTCAAGCTTAAGTTTGCATTTTCGTGTTGTCAGTTAATGATTATCAAGAATACCTGAATCATCAGAAGTCGTTGTTTTAAAATGTACGCCGTCATCAGCGGTGCTGCTTTGTAAAATGATTGTCAAGATCATTTATATTAGACTGAACTAACTTTAACACATATGCGTAGTATAAATATTAACAAGATGTGTTTGTGAAACAGTGATGCCCCAGTATGGCAGCTTATGGCGAAAATTCTCAAATGTAAGTTAAACTCCAAGGTCAAGAGATAAAAAATGTTGGTATCCAAAGAAAGATCTTGTACATGTCAAAAGAAGTATACATGTGAAATAGGAAAGCCGTAGCATCAACTGTTCAAAACTTATGGCCAAGGTCAACTTTTTTTAAGTAGGTAAAATTCCATTGTATAAAGTAAGCATTGTCTACTTATTGGACTGTCTCAGGTAAATTTAAGGTTGTTGACAGTCATCAACTTTGCAATTGTTCCAATAAAACTTAAATTTGAAGGAAATATCTCCGAATTCTAGTGGAATGTAACTTGCACCAACAACACGCTCGGGGATATTACTAGTATTTCTCCTTTTTTAATGCCTTCCTGGCAAGAATCGATCGCTCCCTTTCTCTCTAGAACTCTGAATAATTTTGCTCACTTTCTGCAGGAGCACATCGTTTCTTCTATTATAGGAAAGGAAGGGTGTTTGGTCAATAGTCTAATAATTTTGTTGATTCCTTTATCACCCAACATCGTGATGTCCTCAAACATGAAAACATCAAAGTTGGGTACTGTGTAAAAGTTGCAAATAATAGACATACATAAGGTAGAACAAAGGCGGATCCAACTCCGGCGCGCCGGGCGCCCCCTCCCCCGTTTGAATTTTTTTTTTTTTTTTTTGGTCCATTATCCTAAAATCAAGGGAAAAAAATCTCTTTTTTGTAAGAATTCGTCAGCTTCCCGGACCCCCACCAGGGCTTTGCCCTGGACCCATTGGAGGCTTCAATGCAGCCCCCAGACCCCCCCCCCCCGCCTTCTACTGCATCCCCCCCGTTATGAAATTCCTGGATCGGCCACAGTAGAAAATAACAAATGAATATTGATTTTTAAATGTGACTTTGTCTGGGAAATTGTTTTCTCCTATAGGTCAATTCTTTTGAAATTCCAAATACATCCTTGATAAAAATAATTTAGACATAATATAAAACTTATTCATAACTTTGATGCATGCTATCAATAAGGAATTATTCTATCGAAACAACAGAAAATAACGCCTCATTTCCTCCCACAAAACCACAAATAGATCGGCCGCTGCTGGCGGCCGATAATAATATGATCGAATGATATCAGGATCGAGCTGTCTTGAACCGAACAAAAATGTCAAAACAAGAATCCACGTGCCAATGTTTATTTCAGAAAAAAATACATCCTGTTAAAATAGTAACGCATTTTGACAATGTTTTTGAAGAGGTGAGAAGACAACATTTTATAATCTAATAATTACTTGTAAAATTATTGAATGAAGGTATTCACTTTTGTAAAAATCATTTGTTTCATTTTGCCTTGCACTGAAAAATACTGCACAGCTGCTGCAGATCTGCCAGAGTACTTCAGCTTAACATTGATTTTACATCTTGTTCCATGAGGACCGACTTTGATTTTCCTTACTAGATGTGTAGATTATGACTAAAGTAGGAAAACTAGACTAGAAGGAAAAAAGAGAACTTTTATCAAATGTTGTGAAGCTGCATGAATATTTTGCTATAACCTAATCTATATAAAATTACAGTTATGTATGTCCCTGTTACAGCATAATATAAAATGGCTAACATATTAAACTCAGTTATAACGGGCACATGAATTTTATAAATAAGTCGCAAAAAAAGCCCCTGGATCAAAAAGTCCTACCCCCTCTATATATACATGTAAATATACTATAGCCAAATCTCAGTCGCGATAGAAACATACAGAATATGTATAAAGAGTAGGCCTGAGTATCACGATATGGTCATGCGATACAACATGTATCATGATACAGCTGTGAACAATTGAATTAACCGTTATCATATTATTATTTGCTAACCTCCACAGTTATAGAAAATATAAAAAGAATATCTTGATACTCCTGACCAAAGTTTAAAAAAGGTGGATTTATAGTCTTGACATTGTATTTTTTCTTTGCTACTTTTTTTCAGCCATTTTAAAACATAAAAATTTGTTAGGTTGTATGTAGAAGTTCATCATTGGATACCCATGGGTGATGAGTAAAAGACGAGATCACCCGTGGGTATCCGACGATGGTAGAAGTTTCAAACAAAACAATAAAAATTATCTTGTACTGTAACACGATACATACATGGCGATACAATACGCGTATCGTGAGCCCTTGCGATCAATACGATCGATGTATTGCTGTATCGTTATGCCTTTAATAAAGAGGTTTTTTTTTTCCCTTCTTATCTTTTGGTCTTGTACCTTTCAACAGTTCATTAAGGGGAACTGAAAGTTAGGTCAGAAATGATAACGATCGAGGGAAAATTTGTTGGCTATACTCAGGAGTTATTAGTCTGGGCATTCAGGTAAACAGGAATCTTGTACACTGTTTTTTAACATATGCATGTAATCCGATATACAGTCAAACCTTGTTATCTCAAACTCAATGGGACCTAGAAAATACTTACAAATTTCTGAGGATGCGAGAAATCCAGGGTAAAATACTGGGACTTCATAATTACTTGGACTTATCCATGGTATTCAAGAAATCGGTGTTCCAGATACCAAGGTTCAACTGTATGTTATATATGAAATCCATACCCTTTCCCATTATCAGTTGAGACCAAACTATCAGGTCCACTAGCTAATCTGTGCTACATGTAATAAAAGTATTTTAAAGCAATTCTGACAAGAACTTCTCAAATGTCAGAATGAAATAGCTGTCTCTCAGAGAAGAATAAAAATATTTGGTAAAAAAAATTATTTTCATGCATTTCAGAGGACGCCTGTGATTTTGAGAGGACAGTACATTGGAGATGTCACAGAGAAGTGGAGCTCAGTGGAGTACCTGGCAGAAAAGGGTGGCGCCAAACCTGTCAAAATCCATGTGTCACCAATCCCACAGATGGATTTCATTAACAAAAACTTTGCCTACAAGTACTACTGCGCTTCAAAGACTTTTTATTAGAACATAAAAAAAATCATTAATTTTTTTTTTCAAACTTTTTTTTTTTTTTCTGTAAGTACTTTAAATTACACTGCAATGTAATATTATAATAAAAACAAAGATGTAGCAAATCAAATCCTTATTCACAGTGAATTAAGTCATTTTAATGAACTTTTGAAACAATTATCCCAGTAATGACTAGATTTGTATTTTGCTGTAATATGCATTGGCAGATTTGAGGTGGGGTGGGGGTGCACCCAGCAGGCCCCCCTCCTCTAAAATTTTCAAAATCAAGATTATTCTTACACTATAAAACCTCTTAAAATCCAGGACTTTTTCCCCACACCCTATGCCTAACCAGCCATCGACCCCCCTCCCTTTACTTTGAATCTTGGATCCACCCCTTCATATACATGTGATCGTGAATTATTTAAATTTAGTAGTAAAAATTGTTTTAATTAATACAGTTATTTAATACATATTTAATACTGTACATATCTGGAAAAAAAATACAATAAAATGATATAAATTATTGTTGATTTTGACACAGATCCCTGCCATTTAATGAATTTGTAAGGCGAGCAGCAGAGGACACCCACAAAGAATTCTTCATCTCAGAGGTGAGACTTAAAGCTTGATAAAGATAAAAATTCTCCGTGTTGTCACTTAAACTGATATTTATTCACCAGAGTTAGGTGGAAAAAGTCAAAATATATTTCTGAAAGTTTGAGGATTTTTGGCTCACCTGAGACTTAGATGAACACTTTTGCCCATAAGCCCTCTAAATCTCGATTCAGGTTTTACACACTTAAAATAAAGTATGCCTTGCTTTACAAATCATTAAAAGAGAGGTGAAAAATGTCTTCCTAAACTGTATTAATTAGCTTGACATCCACTAAAAGTACTGTAGATTTGCTCAGACTTTATTGATGTTGGAAATAATTTTTTTTTTTGAAGGACTCCAAATATTATTTTTTAAATTATGAAGTTTCATTTACAACAAATTTTGAAGTGAATCACTCCTCTATCTGAAGGCCAGACTATATACAGACTTTAGCACTACCACAGTGACTGTTGCATAAACAACTTTTAAGTTCTGTTCCAGCAAGCTAGTTCACAGTCAACTGTGCTGTACATGAATTTAGTCTAATATGATTAACACTGAATTCATTTATTATACAGATGCATATAACTTTAAAAAAAAAAAAAATAATTGTTAAAATTGAATAAGATTCCACTGTTATGCTGTTTTGGAGAATCTATATATCAGTTACACAAACTAAAAAAGTATACCTTTTGAGATAATATTCCAAAAATGACATTTCAATTTTTAATTTTTTTTGCACAGACAGAGAAGTACTACCTGCGTGCCCTAGGTGACGACGTTAGAAAGGAGGTAGCTGATATCAGTGTACAGTTTCCAGAGCTCGCCCAGGATCTAGTCATTCCGGATCTGTTCCCAAGGGACAGGTTCTTCTCCAGTGTATTCCGGATAGCATCCAGAGGACTCCAGCTGTGGACTCATTATGATGTAAGCAGATATCCAGATTTGTTGTATACAAATAGTGATAAATGAAGTTAAATTATATACACATGTATGTGATTATGCATGTAAGTGTAGGGCTTCATTGGCATAAAATTTTAATGATGTGAATTTTCTTACACTCGATCTTCATTTGCATTAATATAATAAGTTATATGTTTAGTTCACTGAATTTTCCAACACTGTTTAAAATGTTCTTCTAATGGTTTCAGGTGATGGACAACATACTGATTCAGATCAGTGGTAGGAAGAAGGTGGTGTTGTTTGACCCGGCTGATGCTCACAATCTGTACCTTAATGGTAATGTTTCACAATCACTGTTTCATTTTCATGTAGATAATCACACCCTCAATGGTATTTATCCACATTTTGAACATTTCTTGCATGAACTGATGATGATGACAGATTACCTTGACATGAAAGAAGAGCCTAAGCTATATCTCTGGTACCAGTGTCAGCTAGTGCTTCCAAATAAATAATTTTGAGCAGATCCATTTCCAAAATCAAAGGGCAGATTACCCTAATTGCATAAAAATACCACATATATAAAAGCAGAACTCTTTAGTAAGCAGTGTATAGAGGGTTCTTAATATGACGTATATTTTGAATTATTTTCTGGTTGAGTGATCTTGACCTTGTTGAAGTTTCAAGGGCTAGTATAGTCCTATGTACATAAAGAACTAGTGGGACTTTGCCTTAGAGATTCTCTTTGTCTAAATACATTGCAACATCTCAACAAGTATATTTTGTTTTGATACTTTATTTTTATGAACTAAATAGAGGTTCCAAATGAGTAAATGAGATACTTTTTAGTGTTTCTGTACTTAAACAGGTGACAAATCTGAGGTATTGGACATAGATCATCCTGACTCAGAGAAGTACCCCAAATTCTACTCCGCCATCAGGTACGAGGGGCAGCTAGAACCAGGGGACATCCTATTTATTCCAGGTACAAAAGTAAAGTGTTTATAGCTAGCTTTCTTCTTTTATTTTAAGTTCACTTTATATATGTTTAAATTTTTTGATTTCATTCTTCTGGTAAAATATAAGCATCATTTGAATTTCTGTTGTTGACATCATTGTCAGTAGCTTTATTTTCCAACTAGAAATGAAATGGTAAATTTCAGGTTATTTTGTCAGTGAAAGCAATATTGTTACTGTTATAGTGAACATTGTGCTCAAAATGCTAGTGTTCAACAAGGTCTTCACATGAAGACTTCAGCAAAAGATAACAATAACCATGCAAAAATTTTAAATATTTCCCACTCTGTATGGACTTAAAATTAGTTAGAGAATCAGGGTATACTGTATATTGTGTTGTTATTTTTCAGCTTTGTGGTTCCACAACGTTGTGTCTCTAGACTTTGGTGTGGCAGTAAATGTGTTTTGGAAACATCTTGAGGATAAAATGTACGATAATAAGGACATATACGGTAACAAGGACCTTCAGCCTGCTGTGAGAGCCATGCAGATCGCTGACCGAGCCATCAAAGCTCTCGAGGAGTTACCTCCAGTGTATAGGGACTTCTACGCTAGAAGACTTGTCAGCAAGATAGAGAACAAGTGTTATATTAAATCTGATGTCACATAAAGATGTGGCGGTTATTGTACAAATATTTATTAAAGTTAAAATGGCCTGCATCTCATTGTGAGGTACATAGACTGTGTCGGTTTCATAAAATGGACACAGTTAATTGGTCTGTCAAAACAATGAAAGCAGAGAAAGTAAACATATATACCTTGTTCATTTCCTATGAGCAATTTTTGCATTACAAAGTTTTAATCTGAACTTCAGGAGCCAATGACCTTGCCTCAAGATCATGAAACTTGAAGACTGCACTCGATATTGTAATGGCTATGTAGAGCTACAACCTTGAACAATATGCTAGTCTTGCTCGCCAAGCCACTATGTTATGTAGGGATAACAATCGTTCATAAAGTGCATTCAAAAGACCTAGATTTCTAGTTTTAGTAATTAGGTTAGCTACTGCCATCTTGAACACAACCCTGTTCATGAACAGCCTTGGCGTCAAATCATGCATAATATTGATATTTCTTTTTATTGTAACATTCTCTTTGATTTTCCCTTTGCCTCTGTCTTTCCATAACTCACTGTCATAAGCTGTGATGTCATAGTGAGCAATTGAGATGTCATAGCTCAGCAATTGTGAGATTGAAAATATTGTAAATGTGGATTTCATAAACATATTTGGAGAAACTTTGGCAGTTTTATTCTGTGTCAGGATGGTTTATTTACTATCATATAACAGGCGAGGGAGTATTTTTTACAACATTATTCATGAAGGGAAGGATAATCTCCATAGAAACGAAGGTCCCGTGTCACAGTAGGTGTTGGCACGAAAAAGATCCTTCATTGCAAATGCTCAATGACCCTGAAGCCGAGTTTAGGTATAAATTTGTAGCCCTCCACCGGCAAATGGTGGCGTCTCCATATGATTGAAAAATTCTCGAGAGGGACGTTAAACAACAAACAAACATTGATTCTTGAGGATATGATATGGTTAATGTGGTTTTGCTTCGTTATTTATTCAAAATTTTACTTTTCATGGAAGACATAAATTCAAGGATCTCTTCACACAATGAAACCCTCCCCACCCACCCCCAAGAAAATTAGTGACTTCCCAGTAGTTGAAAATGAGATGATTCCTATGTAAACTTTAAAGGGGCCTGGACACAGTTGCATTGTTTACAATTTTAAACATCTATTTTTATTCAAAGAAATACATGTAACTTCAATTTAATGATTTGAACTTACATGAATATTCTAAGAATTTAATGACAACAACATTCTTTATAACATCACATCAAACACCTGTGTTTATAAACAGGGCACGAACTCTGTTACTGTTAGTGTTTTACTGGGTGGTTCAATTTGTTTAGTATGCACACATCAATGAGCACGGACTGACAATACTGGTGAGTTGGTTTTGCTTTCTCACATTTCTACTCTGAATTTTCTGGATTATAGTTTTCATATTTTTCATTAATATACAACAAAATTTCTACTTTTCTTAAGTATTAGGGATAAAGTTTACTTTGTGAAATTGCAAGTACATGTATATGTGTAAATCAAATTCGTAGATCTAATAATTTCCAGATAAAAGACGTTTCTAAACACATTTTAAATAAGTTTCAGCATAAAATGCTCCAGAAACATACAAGTCATGATATTATTTAGAAAATATGAGTTTCAAATCTGTGTCCCATTCCCTTTAATCTAAACTTTGATAATATAAAAGTATTAAAAGTATGTGTTGAAGCACTTTTATTTCACAGAGACAAGCAAAATTCACACAAGGGTGAGGGAGTAAAAAACAATAAAATCAATCTTCATAAGTAGAGATGTAGTAAATTGTAAATATGGATAAGAGCCATTTTAATCCTCAGGATATGCAAAACTTATTAAATTTAAACATTAAAAAAACCTGATTATTAATCAAGAATTATTAAATTGAAAACAAGACAAACCAGTCTGTAAAAGTTCAGAAGCATTTCGCTCTGCATTCCTATGTCACATTATCTATACAATTGTCATGTTGAAATAAAAAATAACATTGACCAAAAAAGAAAAAAAAATTACTTGTATCAGCTTGAACTTTGGTCACTGGGACATCACACATGAAGAATTTATCCTAAAAACTAAACCAAAATTACTGGTAATCCAACACACAGCAAAAATAACTTAAGACAGCTAACAGAAAAAATGTAAATTCGATTTGCAACAGCTAATGCATTTTGGTCCTGCCAAGATATGAAAAGTTATTTCCTGATAACTATTATCCACAAAACAGGTTTACAGTAAAACAAAGTTTATGGCAATCCTGCTCAATAGACAAAAAATACCATGTAAGGCATAGAAAAACAAGGCAAAACCACAGAGCATTTCTACTACACCAACTGCAAGACTATTCCTTCTAAAATACTACAAGTATTAGCCTGCTGACATTAACAACAATACAGCATAATTTGAATGTTATAGTGTACAAGAAAAAAAAAAGATTGAGACATCCACAGACACTAATAAAAAGTATTAATCCATGGTCCCAAGAGTCCACCATGATGATGTCATTTCGCGCAGAATAGGTGAAATGGTACACATATCTCTAAAAATGCTGTCATCTCGCCCAGAGTGCTGAAGACTGACGACCCACTCTGTCAAACCACTGGATTTACATAACAAGTTTTTTTTTATTCGATGGCCACTTAAAGGATTAATCCAAGTCCAAACTAACTATGCATACTCATCATATGACTTTGGGTAGCTTCCTGAATAAAGTCTGTATCGGGTAATGTAACATTTCTACCAAGTAACAGTAGGAAGGTTCTGAAAAAAATAGTATAATAAGTTGTAAATGTTTATAAAATGAGTGAATAGGGTAGATCATTTGAAATACTATGTGGCAAACTAGTGCATGTGCTTTATCTTGATCCTCTGTGAAAAAACGTATAGACCTGTGCACTATAAATAGTGAAGCACACAACTGATAGATTCAAATTACAACCCCCCCCCCCCCCCCCAATGCCTGAGATTAAAAAAAATCAACATTTGCAATCTTGTCTTTAATGGTTTGGAGTAACCCATGATATCCACAAAAACTGAACCCATGATATTATACAATTATGGACTTCAATGTAGGTTGACATGTGGTTAAAAGGACCTATGTCAAGTGATATTGACTGAAGACGCAGAAAGTGATAGCGACCGAGCTTGTGAGGTCACTATCATTTTCTGTGTCTGAGGTCAATATCACTTGACATGGGTCCTTATAACCACATATTGACCGTTCACGGAAGTCCATAATAGTTATATTACATAATCACTCAAAGTGAATAATCTGACGCAGTCCTAACTGAATAGACTTGGCTGTCATTACATCACAATGGTAAAGACATGTTTCTTATATTATGACGTCACGTTCTACCTAACTTCGATGCAGCCGATCGGTGAGTCGTGCGATATCACATTCTGCGGATGCGCTTTTGCATCAATATCACAAATGGACGAATGTCGTGGCGTCCTTTCAGCCAATGAAAATTACGAAAATAATCTTCTTATATAATATACATGAATAATGATTCAATAGAATGTGTTATTACATGTAGCTTACCATTGTCCGGATTAATAATGTTGTGTCGTATTAAAAAATCCAAAACAATGGCTGCACTGTTTGGTTTGAAGGAATCTAGAACAATTATATCTTGTAACTGAAAAGAAAGTTGGAAAGTCAATAATACATGTTATTAACTTCATCTATTAAACTTAAATTTTCATGTAAAAATTTGACATGCAGAATTTTTTATCATTTACAAGATATACTACAACCATCTTCAGAAGTGCATGACAATTTTGAGATTCGTATACAGTAAAACTCAGTTATAGTGAAGTTCTGGGGACATGTCAATTAACTTCGATATATCCATAATTCGTTATGTCTGTATACAATGTAGCAACTTTGCTATAGTTTAAAGCAAATCTGCAATATATGTTTTCCTTCGTTTGACTGCCAAATATGTATGTGTATATGTGAATATGTATGGATAACTTATTAAGTTTTCTGATGAAATGATAAAGATTTTAAGATATAAATACAGTAAAACACAGTTACAGTGAAGTTCTGGGGACCTGCAAATTTATTTCTCTATATTAGTAATTCATTATATCCATATAACGAATTCCTTAAAGTATATATAGCGAATTCGTTATATACATGTAGATTTTTTTTTCCCTCAGGTGTGCTTACCAAATGTACATGTATTTAGGGAAATATAAAATACTTTTAATTTGGAATTCAAAAGTTTTTGGAAGAAATGAGTTTTAAATATAAATACTTACAAAATTATGTCAGTTCAATATTTTAATAATTAAGATCTTTGAAAATTTGCTATAAAAGATGCAAATTTTTTTATTTTTAACTTACATGGGACAAAAAAATCAGTTCGCTGTAACCGTAAATTTGCTATATATCAGAGTTCATTATATCCATAAAATTTTACATAGAATTGTTAAGAATTTTGCCAGGGATTGCAAAACACTTCTCTATATCTGTAAATTTGCTATATCTGTGTTCGTACTAAACGCGTTTTACTGTAATCATGAGAAATAATATCAGTTCAATATTTAAATTTTGACTTGTAAAAAATTCATTATAAAAGATGTAAATATCATTATTTTTAATGTCTACGGAACACAAAATCAGTTTGTTTTAAACAATGAAATGCTTTCTTTGGTTGTTAGTACAGGAATTAATGTTGCAGCTGTTGCAGAAAAATTACATAACCCGTGTAAGCGGGTTATGTGAATTTTTTTCTGCAATACCTGCGATGTTTATTCCCATACTCACAAAGAAAGAAAGACATTTTATTGTTTATATTTATATCTTTATAAAAAAAAAACATTCAAAGTAAATTAAATATGTTAAATATTGTATTATAGACGTGTATGTCATTGTATGCATAATTGATGGAACAGCCGTTGCTTAAGAAATCTATGCAGGTGGCTTGCTTAGTGTTGTTTATGGACTGATTAATGGCAATGGTTTTCATAAGAAATAAAGGAAATAATATTCAGTGGATGTAAATATTTTTCCGTAAATTCGATATATTAGAGTTTGCAATAATGTAAAATTTTACGAAAATATGTGAAAAATTTTGCAAGGGATCCCAAACTTCAGATCTGTTAATTTGCTATATCAGTGTTCGTACTGAACAAGTTTTACTGTAATATCACAAGTACTTATATAGATCTACATGTACATGTATGCTTCAAAAATAATGCGTCACCTCTGAGACAGGATAAAGTTTAAACTCTTGAACTTCACCATCAGCATTCACAGGTACAAAGTCCTCGGGAAGCTTCAGGTCAAATAGAAACTCCACCTCTGGATGAACACCCCTCTCATCTTCATGTATACAGCTGTCAATCAAAACCAATAAATTCAACTGCAATTTCTGAGGTTACTACAGTACTGTACAAAATTGCTACCAGCTAGTGTCTTTTAAATATCAAAATGAAATGCTTTTGTTTTATAATATAACTGAGGGAAAATAGGGATGATCTCAAAAACTTAGTCCCTGTAAAGTGTAAACCATTCATATTGGTAATAACTTTTATTAACCAGTTTGAATTCCATCTTTGACTTTTAATTTTAGTAACCGAGGAAACATTTTGGATAAATACACAACTTAAAGGGTTCAAGGTGAGAAAACAAAGGTCATGCAAATCTTGAATATTTCTTGCATTTAAATAAAAGTTGGTTTGCAGTATCTCAAACTTCCCTCTTAGTTTAAACATAAAGAGATGAGTTTTAACTGTACATGTAACACCATTACAAATGTGCACTCTTTCAAATAAAAGTACATTAGAAAATGATTGATGTTGACGTCATCTTTTATTTGCAATTCGTCAGTTTGAAATCAATCCAGTGCGATTTATTTTCGCAACTGGGGAAACATTCTCTACAAATACAAAGCAAATTAAATGGTTCACGCCGATTATTATGAGTTAACATATGTCACAAAACTCACAGATATTTCTCGCCACAAATAAAAGTTGCTTTACAGTATTACCTCATAGTTCCTGTAGACTTGAGATTTTTGAGGTACTTCTCTGGTATCGAGGCTTCCTCTTGACATTCTTTTTCTGCACACTCCCGGAACCCCAGACCAGAACTGAGGCCCCCAGCCACCTGTATCAACATAACTTTAATTTAGAGTCTCATGAAAATATAACCAATCAATATGCAACTATTTTCAGTGTTTAATTTCTGTGCTTTATAAGTCTCATATTTATATTTCACTAGAAAACACAGTTGAAAATCTTTGGTTTAAGGCAACGAGTTATTCTAAATACAACCTTAAAAGCTGGCATTCTTATTTTCTCTTAAACTATGTAGTTTTATTTTAACATTTTTTTAAAAGTATGAAAAATGTAAAGATAGAAAACAGTAATCTATATTAAAAAATCCATATACAATATAATTTTGTGAGCAGGTAGGCATATAACACAGACCCCTGGAAATTCCAGAGGTGGGATCAGGTGCCACAGTGGAGTAAGCATCCCCTGTCGACCATTCACACATGCCAAGAGCTCTATGTATTGATCAGGTAGACTGAATAATCAATTTTAGTATTAAAAAAAAAATCTCACAATTGGTATAAAGCATTTGACCCAATGATAGGCTGTATTTGCAAACAAGATCATTACATGTTTAATGAATATAAACTATTCGAAATGCTGACTATAAACGAGGCTGTTGAAATCCCTTTAACATCAACTTATTTGACAGTAGCCTGCCACTGTTTAAAAACTGATCCTGCTCAGAGCATGCTCTTGTGAATTGAATAAACACCATATGCAGTTGATAGCAGAATATTACTACATAAATAAGTAAAGTTGATAATGGAAAAGCTGAAGTAAATTATAAAGTATTCCATCACTGTATCATATGTATTTGAGTTAAGGGTATATCTTTTCATTAATAAACCATTAAAAATGACCTCTGAATATTTAGTAGGGTACATCTCTTCATTAAATAACACCTTGCTGCACATTTTAATACACTTACAAATTGGTCTAGGAGATTTGGGTAGGTCTGTTTGGTCGGTGACCTTTTCGCTATCCACATCATCATTTCTCCGTTTTTGTAAGTGTAACCGTTAATATGACACCCATAAGTCACCACTCCAAACGGACCTAGAAAAGATCCAAGAGATAAATAAAAGTTCTTTTAAATTTTCTTTTAAATCAAACACCACATTTATGCATTGCAAGGAAATTTAGGAATTGTTAACTGAAGTCACTTCATATTTCAACTGCTTTTATGTTCTGTAAATCAATATCAAAATAGATGCATTTACAATTACTGTAATGGAAACATATATTTCAATGAAACTGTAACAGCAAAGACAAAATATGTTGACTGCACAGTATTTATCCACCTACAGTTCTATGTTATATGTATTTGTATAAAACATTCAGTATGACATTATAAATATTACATGCAGTTGAGGTTAACATTGAATATTTTCACCCCAAGAAAACCATTGTCAACCTTTTCAATGTTACCCTCAACTATATGAAATATTTATATAATATCAAATTAAAACTATGTAATATTTCTAACTACGGTCTCTAAAAAAATATAATCTGTCCTAAATTGGTAATGGAAACTGTCACATTTGGAGTTAATTGATACGACCTAAATAGCTAACCATCATCAGTTATCAAAATACAATTTTGAATACAAGTAGACTTCATTGTTTAAAAAAAAAAAGCACAGTGAAAAAAAAGAAAAAAACAGAATGAAAGATGATATAATATGAAAGATAAACACAGTGTTTCTAATATATTTTATTTTATGATTTTAAAAAAATTGTGCTTACCAGCAGCAGATCTCTCCATTTTGAACAAAACAGGCTCACTCATAGAATGTCGTATATTGTAGGTCTGAAATAAGTAAAGCAATGCAAAAGACAGATTAAAACAGGCCCACAAATTACCACACAGGTACATAATAAGCAGTACACATCTTTTTGAGAAATCTGTTAGCCCTTTTTTTAACTATATATTTCTGTGATATTTTTTGTTTATTGTAAATCATATTTTATTTGCAAGAGCATTATTTTCGTGTACATGTATTTTTTGTGAAGCTATCTGGATATAAAAATAATTCCTTGTCAGTAATCATTTCATCCACAATGGAGGCAAGCAACAATTTATCGAACAGTTTATCTTGTGAACAATACACAAAAATCTTGTCTTTCCATTAAATTCATTTCTTTTTTCTTGGAAAAATAACATTCTGTAAAATGTAATTGATATACTTTAAGCTTTTTCTCTGTCTTTTAAATTTCAAATCTCTATTCTACCCCAAAAGTAATCAAAAATAAAACTCTACCAAACATTAAGCTGTATGAACAATGATTGATAAGGTACTGATTTACAGAGCACAAGGTGGCATTTAAAAAATGAAGTATGCAGCATGATTCTTACACCTTATAAAACACTGTTATCAATTATTCATATAGCAAATACACGTGTGTTATGTTATATATACATGTACATACAATATAATGTACATTTTCCCTCAAACTCTATCGATTTAACAATTAGTCTGTAACTTAGAGCCATTTACCCTCCAACATCTATACTTTACTTGACCTGATCAATAAACCCAAAATGGCAATATTAATATGATAGATACACAACTATATATGTACAGTATACATGAATACTGTAGTTATTGATCAATACCTCATTTCTCCAACCTTTTAGTGACCTATGAAGTTTCCCCGTGTCCCTGAGCGATTCTAAGAATACCCGCATGACTTCAGTCCTCTCTTCAAACGTCCCATACTTGTTACTGAGGTGGATGGATGTACTGCTGACTGTGAAAAGGTCACTGTGTTCCTGTAATAGCAGAGCCACCTCAGGTGTGACAATTCCCACTTGATCGTTCTCCACGTAAAACGGCACGCACTCCGAACGGCTGGAAGCTGGGAAAAGAAATGTGTATATATATCTCTCTACTAAAACTGACCATCAATAGAAAAAATGATTATATTTGTAATTTTACCTTTTATGATTAAAGCATATTACGTTACGTATTTTTGAAAAAAAAGAAGAAGAAATTGGAAAAGATTCAGATAACACACATTAAAATTATATGTCTTTTTTTTTTTTTTTTTTTTAAAAATCCAATTTAACCTTATTGTTTTAAAAATATCTGAACATAAGCATGATAAATGGTAAATAAATGTGCATGACATTTATTAATACAAGAAAGAAATGTATTTCTATATTACATCTTTAAATACAGCTGAATTTTGGTACAATTAATACATCTCAATATGATTTCTCAAATACCATGTAATGTATAATAATGTCAGATTTTGAAGTCCCAATTACTTTCCTTTAATTGATCCCACTTAGTTCAAGATAATGAGGTTTGAACATTATGTTATCTTGGATATGATAATTATGTATATACACTGTATTGATACTTACTTGGCAACAGAAAGTTGTTTATTCTCTCCACGACCCTACACAAGTTAACTTTCTTGGGAATAACATGATTTACACAGTTGAGATTCATTTTAGACAAATACTTTTTTTTTAGTGGGTTTGCTTTTTCTGTATCCCACAAAATCCTGCAAAATCAAGTTTGAATCCTGTCTTTACAGGAATAGGTTGAAGATTTTCTTCTATGTCATCATTTCTTCACATAAACTGTTGGTGTTCAATGCCTGTAATCAGAATATTGAAATGTAATTTGTAAGATCTACAGTCATCTAGTGTAAATCACTTTTTATTCTCAAGAACTTTATTTTCGTGTAGTTACGCTGGACTGTTTCCTCACGAAATTTTCCTTCTCACGTTTATTTTTATTAGTAAAGATTATACAGGACAATAGTTAGAATTCGTGAAAATTTTGTCCCGCTAATAAATGCCATATACTCATCTCGCAAAACTAAGATGTCGGGAATATTTAGTCATTTACAGTACTTTTGAAAAAACTGTGTAGAGGAAAAAGAAACATTGATAGGAAGTTGTGGTAGCTGACACATTAATTTATCTAATTACTCTAAAAAGGTTCACAACATTTGTAATTGTACAGAAGAAAGTGCAGGGTCTCATAAATTTTCAAGGGGGTCTGGATTTCATTAACTGTCATCTCTTCCAAATAAATCATTGGTGCAAAATGTTTTTGCAAGTACTTCTTAAATATTATATGGATTTTAATTATCTATTGAGTGGAATATATGCTACATACTATTCATGCAGGTTGAAAATGAAATCAAGTCTTAGTCTTTTGCAATTTTTGTTAATACATGGTTATAAAAATTTTATAATATATATTATATGATTACAAATGCCCCCCCTCCCCCTCCCATGTTAGACTGTTGATCACAGGCAACTCAATTTTTATCAACAACTTCGACATGTTCAAAAACATTCATATAAACCCTAAATTAAAAAAAAATCCTACTCCCACTATATATCAATACACGTGTGTATTTATAAATAAAGGTTTTTTCTGTTTTTTTTTTTTTTTTAAATCTACACGTAGGTTTTAATTAATCTCTGGCTAGATCAATAAAACATTAAATTATCAATATAGAAACTAGAAAGGGTATGTTGTGGATCTGATAACTTTTTCTCAATACTTGTGTGACTACAGAATTGTGGTAAAAATATGCCTCATCAACATAATTTAGAGAAGAAAAAAAATTACCGTAAATTCAAATCGCTCATTAAAATGGAGAATGCATCCTTGAATTCCAAAGTCAATAATAAAACCAACTCTTCTTGAGCGGATATGCTGTAGTTCCGGTCGCAGGTCTGAGTTTTGTTCGACTTTTTATGACTAGATATTTTATTTTTAAGGGCTGTCAATTACCTATTGTCAGCGTTTATTAAGAACCAGAAATATTTGGTCTGCACCGGACTGTTTTTCCCGGAAGGTCTCTTTTTACAATATATTAGCTAGATCGTTCTTCAAACCATTCGTGTGTCTTTCAAGAACGAGGTTACCACAAAGGGCCATCTAAGGTTTTCATTTATTTTATCGAGAAAAAAAAAGTTAAAAAAAAAAAGGAAAAAAAAAGAAAAAGAAAGAGAGCTAATACACCTTCCGGCACATATGCCCCCGCTGAAGGTAAGTTTTATCATAGGGGCTTGTCTTACGGATTGTTAAATGGAAAATAAATTTTTAAAAAATTTTGAATCTATTTTATAAATACACTTAAAAGTTGTTACAAAAAAGATTCTGGCACTTTCAGTCAAGAAAAACCACGTTTAAAAACACGTACCACACTTATATACATAAACTCTACATTTAGTAAAGGCTGAATTAGACACCATGTATTGTGTAAAATTTTGAAAATATCGAACGTGAATATAAACATTATACATGACATAATATTTGCATTTAATCTGCTGTAAAATCAAGTGCCTCCGCGGTCTAGGGGTATGATTCTTGCCTATCAAGTGAGAGGTACCGGTGTAACGACGAAAAGTGACCCCCGTAAAATATTGACCAGGGGTCAAATTTCTACGTACATTGTAGAAAAATGATCCTGGGTCAATATTCCACGACAAGTAGGGTCATTTTTCGACCGTAGAAAACCCTTCCAGGCCGGTAATTCTACGACTCCTCTTACGTTGAAAAATGACCCCCTTAGAAATCTGACCCCCCCCCCTACTTTTTCACAATATTATATAATAAAACCTGTTTTTTAAAAAAAAAACCTTTAGAAATGAGATATGATACGCGTTAATTTTTCCCCAAGAAAATCTCAACATACACGTGGACGGGTGAGAAAAGAAAAAATATTTTATTTTCTGGAGGTGAAAAAAAAAAATTGAGTCGGGCCATTTTAGCCAATCGGTCGGGAGAAGGTGTTAACAAACATTTTTTTTAAAGATGGCCTTGGCTTGTCTCCAAATCATGCACTGCAGTTATAGAATTTCTAACATGTTGTCTACCTCCTTCCCCAGTCCTTTTCATAATTTAAGGAGGAATGCCACACCAAAATTTTATTTAATAGATCTTTAAGACATCTCTTTTAAACTATGGTTGCAGCACTGCATGAAAGACTGATATCAGCTCTTAATTATTTAATGCGATTTTTGGGTATTTTTTTCTGAGAAAATGAAGAAAAAAATGTTTTATTTGCAAAGATGCTTATTTCAAAAAATCAAATTTGTTGTAAATCGGAAAACTCTCACTCATGTACACAACCTTTCTTAGACCCCAATTAGAATATGCTTCCTTGGTGTGGGGTGGATGTAATGTAGGCGATAGCGAAAAATTAGCTCTTAACTCTATTAGCTTCTAAAGATGCACTATACTTTGAAACTGGATGGGAACCATTGCATGAAAGAAGAAAAAATACTAGATTTACTACAATATCCAAGTTCCTGAATATCTAACTGATATAATCCCAAATTTGCGTTGTAATTCATCAAGTTACAGTACGAGAAATTCATATAACTATAACATACCTAAACGTATGGCATGTCAAACGTTGCAATATTCGATCTTTTCCATTTGTATTGTATAACTTTCCATTTGTATTGTATAATTTTTATTTGTATTGTATAATTTTTCATTTGTATTGTATAATTTTTCATTTGTATTGTATAATTTTCAATTTGTATTGTATAATTTTTATTTGTATTCTATAATTTTCCATTTGGATTTTATAATTTTCCATTTGGATTGTATAATGTTTATTTGTATTCTATATTTTCCATTTGTGTTGTAAAAAAAATCATTTGTATTGTATAATTTTTCATTTGTATTCTATATTTTCCATTTGCATTGTATAATTTCTTATTTGTATTGTATAATTTCTTATTTGTATGCGATAATTTTTCATTTGTATTGTATCCGAGGATTGTTTATTTATTTCGTTACGAAGGATGTCATTGGTCATAAAATTTAGTCTGTATAATGGTCTCAGGTGCCCATCACAAACTTAGTCTGGTACCCTTCCCACAATTCCGATCGCGCACTCTCTACAAACACAAACTCGGCTCCTCTATTTGCGGTGCATGCTAAGGGACGACCATTTGATTCTCGGGGGGTGTTGAATCCGATTATTTATTTTCATTCTCTCGCAGGAGAGAATATTTATTTCCAATATGACCAGAGACAAGGAGAAAAACAAAAAGAAGAAAATCCACCCAAACCCGAAAACTCAGTTTTTTGGGGGTGGGGGTAGTTACCACCACTCAAGGTCAATTTATTTATTTTCTCAGTCAGCATTCCTAAGGACAGATTATTTATTTGCCATCTACCAGCGCTCCCTTTTTAGAATCCAATGACCGTCTAACATGCACGCAAATACATATGCCGCCGAAATATGGCTGAAATATTGCCGACTCGGCGTTAAACAATAATCAATCAATCAAGCAAGCAAATACATATGAGCCCAGTTTGCTTTGAGCATCCGGAACATCTTCAACCCGATACAGACTGAAACTTGACCAATGAAATCCTTCGTAACGAAACAAATAAACAGTCCGCGGATACAATACAAATGAAAAATTATCGCATACAAATAAGAAATTTTACAATACAAATAAGAAATTATACAATGCAATTGGGAAATTATACAATACAAATAAAAATTATACAATACAAATGAAAATTATACAATACAAATAGAAAATTATAGAATACAAATAAAAATTATACAATACAAATGAAAAATTATACAATACAAATAGAAAATTATACAATACAAATAAAAATTATACAATGCAAATGCAAAAGATCGAATATTGCAACGTTTGACATGCCATATAAACGCAGATTGCAAACCTATGTCAACTTTCATCCCCCTTGTTATTGACGAATTGAACTCATTGTCTCTTATTGTAAGAAATTCTTCCTCATTGTCTATCTTTAAAAAGTCCATTTCTTACAATAAACCTATGCCACCCTCTTATTTCAGTTACGGGATTCAACGCTTAAATATATTACATACATTAAGGCTTCGACACAACTGTGTGCTTAATAGCGATCTTTTTCGATGTAATGTAATTTTGAATCCCCTGTGTTTTTGTGGAAGAGTGGAGGATACTCATCATTATTTCTTTTCATGCAAAAAATATACAGAGGCCAGGAAATAATTTTTTGACTCATTTCTGCGAATGGGAAAATTACATACTGTTGATACTCACACTTTACTGTGGGGAGATGAAACGTTAAACGATGTTGAAAATGAATACCTATTTTCCATTGTACAAACATTTTTTAAAAATTCATGTTGTTTTGGTTGATACAATTATTACTTTTTACGAATTCTATACAGCTTGTGTATTATATAAGAAATATATTAAATTGAATATTATTCATCTGATATTATTATGCTTTTCTGTGTTTATTTATTTTAAGCTGAAACCCATATATGTAAATATCCGATCGAAATGAAACTGATCCCGATCAAAATTAACACAAAATAAATAAAATAATAATTATCGTCCTCTTTATGTATTTACCTCTCAGAAATCTATTTGATTGTCAAGTTCAATTACCTTTTAATCCGTATTACACCTAAACAAACTAGTATTCTTGTAAAAATGTTATCTATTTCCAATTATTACAAAATTTCAACAGTTTAAGGACCCTCTCTACATTAAAAGAAAATGTTTTTTGGACATTGAGAAAATTATATTGTATAAAGGTGTAAATATTGAGCTTATTTATATCCTTTTCAACATAGGGTGCCTGTCTTTTAACCCCAGGAAAAATGTTTAAAGTCAACAAAGTTGAAATCAAAGAAATCACTGTTGTTTTCCTAAGTGGGAAAAAAGAATGCAGATAATGTTTTCAATTAATTCATCTTGGCCTATCAAAATGTCAAGAATGCTTGAATTGATTAGAAATTGATTGATAAGCTGTAAATTTCAATTTATTTTATTTTAGATCTAAGGGCAGATTACTCTAACTACATAAAAATACCACAGAATCAGAACTCTTTAGAGTGCAGTGTATAGAAGGTTCTTAAATTTCGATCGGGATTGGCCAAAATCAAAAAAATATATTTTTCTAAAATTTGGCATTTTCATTTTAATTTCTTTTTAAAATATGATTGTCTAGCATATTCATTGTAGCTGTGACTTGTTTTTTTTTTAATATATTATCCATAGGTTTTGAAAATTTTCGCAAATACTGTGTTTTATTTTCATAAATAATTTTTTAGTAAAAAAAATTAAAATGTCCAGCTTACTTTTGTTTACATATTTTATTAGATATTCATTTTCTGCATTTATTGATAGCAAATTTTTATCTCTAAAACATCTTATTTGCAAATAAAATCTTTTTTTTTCATTTTCTATGAAAAATTGGGGGAAAAATCTTATAAAATAATTGAGAGCTAATATCGGCCTTTTAATGCTGAAATCATAGTTTAAAGATCTATGAAAAAATTGGTGTGGCATACCTTCTTAAATTCTTCCTTCAGACTTAGAATTAAATGCTTACTTCAAGTGTTTTACAATTTACAAACTTTATCTCTATAATGTTATGTACAGTTCATGTAGACTGAGGAGGGTTCCTATGCGCGACAGAGGCCACAATTTGCTTGACTTTTTTTCTTTTTTTTCTTTTTTTTTTTTAATTTTTTTTTGATTGAATGGCTCTATTACTTAAGTGAATGATTATTTTCCCAGAAGCTTTGCTAGGACCTGTAATGAGGTGAACATTTACTCAAATTACGTTGATAGCCCAACGGTTAATCATTTAACGCTGTCCATTCAAAACCGTTTAGTACATGTAGAAATATATGGTTAGCAGAGTGGAACCATGCAACAAGTAAAGATTATACATAGTTTTATTAAGAGTATATATTTGAACAAACACCAAACGAACGTTTATATGCAATAAGAAAATATGAGATGCCGGGTAATCCGTAGAACAACGAGTGAG